CGTGCGGGCTTCTCGCCAAGTACCCACTGCGCTGGGCTGAATCCCTTGTTGTTGGCAAATCGGTTCGTAGTTTGAGCAATTTGGTATCCGGCAACCCGGGCACTCTCGTCATCTCTAACCTCCACCTCGCGAAAAACTTTAGTGGCCATCACTTTGAATAATGGGATCTCTCGTTCAACCTTCCCATGTTGGCGATTCTCTTGAGGAGCAACCGGGGCGCATGGCACTCCAAGATCCCGACGCATAATCTCCAACTCTGTGCGAAAAGCTGCGCCCTGATCAATCTGCATCCTCTCCAAGGTAACCAGATTGCGTTAGCAGCCCTCCGTGAAAGCGATCTTCGCACGCGCTGATTTTGGACTGGGCTTGCGGTCTCCACCGCTGATCATCCATTGAAGTGCTGTAAAGTCGGTAGCAAGGTCAAGCATAACCCAGAAAACATGACATACCCACCCAAGTCTGGTACTTATGCAATGTCCATGCCCATACGATGATTGAATCGCATCCACTTCGGTAGGCTTGCAATAGGATGCGCCGGTGGTCGATGTTGAGAATCACATAGCTCACACTTGCAGAGCTTGGCCGCTGAGATCGCTGCTGGTGATCCTCCGCCGGTTCGAATGTTCCGGGCAAGCTCTTCGCCGCGTAGAGCACAAGACAACTGGATATGCAACTTCTTGATCGCTGCCTTGAAGGCTGCCGGTGCTCGATGCCAGTCGGTGTAGGTCTCCGCATTCGCGCCCATAATGATTTCTGAGTTTGATATGAAGCCTGCGGCGGGGCATGAGTCAGCGGCGTCGGGAACTCCCAGGATAGTCCCGCCTCCTAGTAGCTTCTCGAACTCATATTGTTGTTTGACGCCTTCGAGAATCGGTTCAGCCATGTCTGTTGTCCATATTGAAAATTCACGTGACTTGCCACCGCGTCCTTGAACTTGACCATGTCCGTGATCTCGCGAACGCCGAACTTCAAGTGCATATGCCAGCGCCGCTGCTGACAACGCGAATCTCGTTGGCTTCGGAAATAGATCTTCACGATCATATCGCGAATTAAAAGCACATTGATCACGTCGAACCCAAATCAATCCATGCGGCAACTCATCCTTGATGATGTTCCACACTTGTGAAGATAGAGGGTTCTCAAGTAGTGCATGACGTCCGCGCCCCATTCGATGTCTGCAAATTGCGCGCGCCAACTGAACATGCACGAACGCCTTGGCATGGCGTCGTCGCCTCTCCTTCGGAGGGGACAAGTTTTTGATTGCCGACCACGCCTCCCGCGGGAATGGCCCGATCGTGAGATATGTCTCCAGACTCAAGTTCCCTCATCGTCTCAGCCTGCACGCTGGGCAGTAGTAGATCATCGCCCGTAGCGCGTAGATCCTTGCATTTTCCGGTTATCATGCCAAACTCCGTCGCCAGACGAGTAACAGTACACTGGCCGCCGTAAGTGTCCTTGACCACTGCCCCAGGCATATTCAGACCATGCCGATCAACACGTAGAACACTCCGCGTAACTTTCATTTCTCGTGCATGGTCGGCCATCTGCGTATCCACTTGTTTATTCCGGGACTACGTCATGATGCCGATATCTGCCTGCGTGATCTTGCTGCTCTGCGCCTGGTTTGATTCGCCCTCTCCTGCTGCCCAGACGGCCAGCGTGTTCGTAGTGATAGTAAGTGCTTCCCGATGTGGCGGTATCTTCGGGAAGTCCGCGCTGTTGACCATCGAGCGATTCTTCTTGGAACGTGTGATCTTCACTGGCGTGTCCGGAATCGCTCTGAAGATCACCTGATTGCGTTTCGCACTAATGAGCGTGTCCAGGGCGTCCATCTGATCAGCGCCCACGAGCATAGGTGCGTCAGAGTTCGGCAGCCTCTCGGAGTTGAGCGCGCAGAGACGTCCTCGAATGCCGCTGAATGCTGCCTGGGTACTTTCCGCCCTGACCGGGGCAGATGTGTTGATGGCTTTGAAGACCGTTTGGGCATCTGTAGGTCTGCTAGCTCGAACCTCCAGGTGCTTGTCGATAGCTCTGTCGCCGCCGACCGGAGCCAGAGCCGCAGTGTCCAGGGCCATGGGGGCACCGCCTGCTCTGCCGCCATCGCGTCGACTAACTCCTCGTTGATGTCAGTGATCGTCCTGGTCGGATCATCGGGCTGGTTCGTAATGGGCACTATCATATCGCATTCCTGCTGATGTCCAGCCCCCGATGATAGCATAACGTGCCAGAAATCCCCCAGCTCGCCCTCGCCCAGCTCCTCGCCCTGATCCTTTCGGCTTCTGACTGGCTGCGTTCCTCGTCTTTCTGCGCTCTGGGTCGCCAGCCCAGTGTCCTACTTCGCGGCGTGCGCGGCACTTGCTTTGCTTCTGGAATGCGCCGAGCATGTCTTGAAGCTGGTGCCGAAACGATCTTGCCATCGAAGTCGATGTAGGTATTGCCTTGTCGAAAACGTCGGTTCGTCCTGCCATCTTTGACGAGCTGTCGCTGCCGGCTGTAGTTCGGTGAGCTCGAATCTCCCTTGCCGCGCCCGCGTCCTTCTGCCGCGACTGCTGCGACGACCTTTTGCGCATCTGCTGCAAACGTCTGTCTTCCTTCTCCCGATGGGCCTGTGACGTCCACAACTGCGAAAGCCGTCTGGAGCTCTTCCACTTCCGCCGACAGAATCGCCATCCCGTTGTCTTCATCCTCGTGGTCTTCTTCTCCGCGATCCCCCTCGGCTTCGTCGCCCTGGATCTCCTCCTCAGGATCCGCGCAGAAGGCTGCATTCCATCCGACCCGTCGTCCTCTGCCATCACGCCTGTGATCTCGGCCACATCGAGCGTCGATGCTGTCGAGCTGAATCTCGAGGATGTCGCATATCGCATCCCAGTCATATTCATTATGAGCCTGGCCCAAGAACGTCTTGTGCTGAGCCTCCGTGATACCGCGCATGTCTACTCGGAAAAACGTTCTGAGATCCTCCGGCACCAGCGTTTCTTCGTTCGTGAGGTCTCTCAGCTTCTCGCACGCGTCTGTCCGCCGTTGGATCTTTATCGGCTCTCCTGGCTTCCGGCGTCCGCGTCTGAAGCAGTCTAGAAACGCCTTGTGCTTCTGCTGCGGGGCCACTATCTCCACGTGTGAGCGAACGCACTTGATGAGTATGTCGAATGCCTGCCCGACAGCCGCTTCTTTCCCCGTCGGAGCGTTACCTTTCTGAAACTGCTCGGCGAGGGCCTTGACGCTGATCTTTTCGTTTTTGTGACACAACGTCCACCCTCTCCCGTTGAGTCCATTCTCGACCTTGGCGATGAAACCTCTATTCTTCTCGGTGCTCTCCATGCCCAAGAATCCGAGCCGCGCTCTTCTGCTGCTGCCGCGTCTCCATCAAAACACGGAATGCCATCGTTGTACAACTACACGTGTGACCCTGGATTTCGATCGCCCGCCATCGTGAACTCTGAACTGCTCTCTATAAGGTCGGACCAGCTCCCGAGGAAATCGAACATGCTCTTGAGCAAGTCTGAACTGCTCTCGAGGAAGTCTGAACTGCCCTCGAGGAAATCGCAGTGCTGCGTATACCCGAAAGCACGCACACGATCGCAATATACACTCTCACCCCAACTATAGTACTTGCCTGTCCGCAAAGACCAGGTCTTGACTACAATAATGAAAAGAACAAGCCCAATCAGCACAGGCCGTCCTTCGTTGACTGCTCCGCTACCAGGTGTCAATGATGTTGGATATTGACCAGTCTTTGTTCTCCTTCCGCACGTAAGCTCCGCGGAATCGAGCAATATGAAAGCGGTCGTCTGCACGACCAATCAAATACAGCAAATAGGAATCAGGGAAGCCCCCGTCAGTGACTGGAACACATCTGGTAACTGGTTATCGCTGGTAGCTCCAAAAGGAGACCCCCTGATACTATTGAGAGAAATGGCCACAGCATGTATCATACTGTCTCTTCTCTCCAACTGCTTATCTACTGCGTCTCTAGCTGCACAGATACGGGCAAAACACACCCATCTTCACACAAGGGGCCCCCGAAGTGGGCTCCAAGGGGGCCCCAAAACCCTCAAAAAGAGCACCAAGAAGACCCCAACATCACCCCGAATAACCCCAGGTTCCAAGAGGCGATTGCGAGGGTTCTGTCCTCGCCCTCTCGCCCCCCGCCTCTCCTCCTCCTCCCTCCTCCTCCTCCTCCTCCTCCTCCTCCTCTTCCTTTCCTCCTCCTCCCTCCCTCCCTCCCTCCTCCTCCTCCTCTCCTCCTCCTCCTCCTCCTGCTTCGTTCCTCCTTCGTCGCTCCTTTCCCCTCCCCTTCCTCCTTCTCCCCCCCTCGGCCTCCTTGTCCCCTCCTCGGCCTCCTTCTCCCCTCCTCCTCCTCCTCATCATCATCCTCCTCCTCCTTATCAGATTCCTCTTCCGCCTCCTGCTCCTCGTCCTGCTCCTCCTCCTTTTCCTTGCTCCCTCCCCCTCTCTCCCCCTTCTCCTTCCCCTCCCCTTCCCCCTTCTCCCCTCCCCTTCCTCCTCCTGCTGCTCCTCCCCGCCCGCCCCTGGCGCCCGCCAACCAGCGGGAGCTGAGAGACGGCCTGGGAAGGCTCGGGGAGGAGACGGAGGCGTGGACGAGCCGCCAAGCTGCCCCTGCCACCATGAGGAGGAGGTGGATGGACGAGGTGGAGGTGCACGCATATGTGTGTATATACACACAGAAGTGTATACATCTATAGTTATACATATATCTGTGTACAGATAAAAGTCTATACCTATGTGTCTATAGAATGTGTATGTCTAGCGAACAAGCGAGCGAGAGAGAGAGAGAGAGAGAGAAAACGTGAGAGAGAACAAGAAAGCGAGAGATTGCGAGACCGTGGGTGAAAGAGGAGATGTGAGAGGACAGCAGGGGAGGGGTAAGAGAATGGAGCAGGAGGGGACGGTGATAAACTGCGACGTGGAGGGGAAGGCCGGGGGGGAAGCGGCAGGCGGGGGAGCGTGGCACAGCCGCGCGGAGCAACGCCCCGAAGTTCCTGCTTCCTCGATGACGCGCAGCCAGTGCACGGCCTCCCGCGACGCGCGGCACGGTGCGGGGCGGCAGATCCTCCTGCTCCTCCGCGCCTGCTGCGGGGAGAAGCGCGGGGCGGCCGAACGGCGGGACGGCCCAGAGGCAGGCGCGCGATTTGGGGGGAGGGTGGGGCCAGCGCCAGCGCCTGTGTGCGCTGCGTCGGCGGCCTGCCTCAGTCAAGGAGCCCAGCCCAAACGTGCACGCACTGGTCGTGGGGGAGGGAAGCAGCCCTGCCCCTCCTCCTCGTCCTCCCGACGCTGCAGGCTTCAGTCTCCCAAAGGATGCAGCCCTCGTCCTCCTCCGTCCTCCTCCCTGCCGACATTGGCGGGATGGCCGTTACGTCAATGAAGGCGCTCGCGATCAACAAAGGGAGACATCTCGGAACGCAACGTCCGGGCGACCGTGGGCCAATGTACCGATGCCCCATATGTTGGCAAGTACGTGCCCGAACAGGCAGGAACCAGGGAGGCGAAGAGGTGATAGGGAAGCCCTCTCGGGCGTAGAGGAGGCATCAGGTAAGGACTCCTCCTCCCCCTTCTCCATACAGACAGCGCACTCTGCAAAGACGTTCCTAAGCAACTTCGCAACTCGCATCTCTTGGAGGTTGGCAGGATGGTCTACGCAGTTGGGGCATGCAAGCGGGTCCCAAGCATGCTTCGCAATGGCTGGTTCAAGCGCATGCTAAGAGTGCGCGCGTACGCTATCTACAGTAACCAAGAAGGTAACGTTGTCAAATGTGTTCATCCCTGGCACATCTGTCCGAACCAGCGTTCCTGTCACATCCCTTTGCTGCAACAACACATTACCCGACGCCCACCCTAAACACACAATTCCATGAAACAAACAATGCTCGATCCCGACTCCGCCCATCAGAACTGACCCTCTCATCCTCCGCGTCATGTACCTCCCCCTCTCGGCTCCACGCCATGGGTCTTCATTACAAGTCACCTTTGCCAAGGGCGAACATTGGTGCGTTGTTAGTTTTGGGGTGGGGGGGCACTCCACGGGCAACCCCTCCAAACGCCCTCGGAGGTTCCGTACGGGGCACCTCAGGACGCCCTCCCCCCTCAGCCAGGCACCACAATCGGCGGCGAGCGAGAGGGGGAAGCGAGAAGGATGAGGCCCTCTCAGAAGGCGGCGGGACTCCCCAGAATCCCTCGCACCTTCTCAGAAGTGTCTTCGGGGAAGGCTCACCAGGAAGCTTCTCACAAGGCCGGGGGACTTCCGAGCCCTCTGAGAAGGCCCGCCCCTTCTCACCTCCTCCACCTCCTCCTCCTCCTCCTCCTCCTCCTCCTCCTCCTCCTCCTCTCCTCCTCCCTCCCCCCTCGCTCGCCGCCGACAGAAGGCCACCACGGCCACGGGGGCACCCCTCCTGCGTGTCGCCGGGCCCCCCCCCACCCCGTCCTGCGCGCGCACGACTTCTTGCTGGCTCTCGCCCAAGGCCTCTGTGCTGCGCCGCGGGGCCAACGCCTGCAGGAAGCGCTTCAAACAGTTCCAGCTCGCAGGGGCTGCGGGCAGCGCGCGCGCACGGCGCGGGCACCCGCGCACGGCGTCATCCCTCCCTCCCTCCCTCCCTCCCTCCCTGCCTCGTCCTCCTCACGCCATCTCATGACTGCCCTCCCTCATCCCTCCTGCCTTCTCCCTGGTCCCTCCTCAGTGCAACGCCGACGACGCGCCGCCGGCTCCCACTACGACCGAACCACATCATGCACGCGCGTCCCCCTCCCGTCCAATCCTTTGTCCACGCTCCTGAATGATCCTCCTCCTCCTCCTCCTCCTCCTCCTCCGCCTCCGCCTCCTCCGCCTCCTCCGCCTCCTCCTTCTCCCCTCCTCCTTCTCCCCTCCTCCTCCTCCTCCATCTCCTCCTCCTCCTCCTCCTCCTCCTCCTCTCCTGCTCCTGCTCTCCTGCTCCTGCTCCTCCTCCTCCTCCTCCTCCTCCTCCTCCTCCCTCCCCCTCCCCAACCTCCCCTCCTCCTGCCTCCTCCTCCTCCTCCTCCTCGCTCCCCGTCCCCAACCTCCTCCTCCTCCTCCTCCTCCTCCTCCTCCTCCTCCTCCTCCTCCTCCTCCTCCGACTCCTCCTCCTCCTCCGCCTCGGCCGGCTACAGCTCCCCGTCGAGCCAGATGGCGGAGGCGTCCCACTTGTCGAACGCCTCCTTTTCTTTTCCAGGGGGGCCGCCAGCTCAACGCCCCCGGGGCCGAGTGCGAGGTCACCGGTTCGAAGATTGGGCCCCGAAGAATAGGGAGGGGAAGGGTGCGGGTGGCAGAGTGGCCGGAGGGAGGCTGCGTGCTCTGGGGGCAGGGGTAGCCGCGCGTGTTTGCCGCCGAGGCGTGGTCGGACAGATACTCAGCCCGGAAGCCCGGGGATCCCCCTGTGTGATGCGGGTGGGGACCCACTCGGGTGCCACTGGGCAGAGGAGGCAGAGGAGGAGGAGGAGGAGGAGGAGGAGGAGGAGGAGGAGGAGGAGGAGGCTGAGGAGAAGGAGGAGGAGGAGGAGGAATCCCACTCGTCGAGGCCCTCCCTGTTTTCAGGGATCCCCCGCCTGAGTACCACAGTGACACTTGAAGGGGGAGGAGGCAGCGATGGGAAAGAGAGCGGCGAGGGGATGAGATAGGAAGCGACGTAGGATGAAAGGGTCCCATTTGTCGAAAGCCTCCTCTTTCAGGGAGCCCCCAGCCCAACACCCGATGAACATCGGAAGGGAGTGGGGGAGGGAGGGAAGAGAGGGAGGGAGGCGAAGCTGTGAAGGGAGGCGCGGGAGGAAGGGGAAGGCGGGAGCGACGGCGAGGGATGGGGAGGATGTGTGTACAACGCGCAGAAACGGCCTGCACTGCTATCCAGTTCACGAAGTCGTATACCAGTGCGTACAGCTCGGGCCCGCCCCAGGTCAAACTTGTAAGAGGTGCCGCTTGCATGCCAACTCAGGACGCATCATGCCCGCAGCAGGTGGCGGTAGTGGGCCGAGAATGGTGACGCAGATGTCCACAGTGTACAACAATCATGTCGCTCCTTGTCCTCTGATGGTCGCTCTCAGCCAACATTAAGAGCCTCGCTGCTGGTGCGCTGTAACCAAAATTCAACAACAGAGGCAAGGGGCGCCTTGACAAAGGGCAATATCACAAAGGCTGGACCTGTGAGGTGTGCGGTAATACTGCTTACGTGTGGCAACGTAGCGGTGACCCGACATAAGCTAGGACCCATCAAGACTCTGGGCGTGGGCGGCTTCGCTCATCGACTCTTCCCGAGCCAAGCCTTTCCTCCCCTTCGGGGAGGGGTTTACCTCCCCACCCCACCCGCGCTGAAGTGGACGGCAGGAGGAGGAGTCGCGAGGCGTTGGGGCGTCCAATATGGCCATGCCTCCAGCATGCCTCCCAAAAGCCCAAGAGTGCCCGAGGGTGGCCTCGATGCGCCTCCAGAGCATGCAACCCCCCCCCGGCCGTCAACCGAAGCCTCGTGCGCGCCGGAGGCACTTGGGGTGCCTGCCGCACCGCGCCTGGAGGGGGGTGGCCTTCCGCTCGAGGTTGAAACCGCGCGTTGCCGCGTGGGCTCGGCTCAGGTCCAGTCCTGCCTCGTCGATCCGACCTGCCTCGGAAAGCAAGTTCACGAAGCGGAAGGGGCTATCAGCAATGACATCACGAAGACAGCGCCCGAGGAGGATGAGGAGGAGGATAAGGGAACCAACTTGGATGGCTCGCCGAGCGGTGGTTTTGCAGCTGATGGTGAAAACTATGGCCCGTTGAACTTCTGGTGCGTCTGAGCAACTACCGTGGCAGGCCGGCAAATTCAACGTCCGGGGCCTCCGTTCAACAGGGAGATTGCGCTGCTCTGGCTCGATACGCGACCCATCATTGGAACCTGTACTGGAACCGGACACGATCGGATGGCTCGACGCCGCTCAAGCCCAGGCACTGCCACACACCCTGAGGAGGGTGTGCTTGGTCTGTGCGCTCGGGCCGGGCGAACGGGGGGGATAGCAAAGGGGTGGGGGGTTGAGAATCAGCCCACGTAGCTGATTTCCCCGGCGCCTCCCGGCGCTGGGAGGCGCCAATGTATCGAGGAATGGGCCCGGCAGCGGGGCCGAGCTGCATGCAGCAGATTTCGCACCCCCCCCTTTCCCAGTCCCCCCCTTTCGTCCGGCCCGATGCTCCATTGAGGCAATGTTTTTGCTTCTGGCCGAGTAGGGGGGGCAATGGCACCCAGTGGTGCCCCAGGGGCTGCCTGGAATGCGACGGTGTACTGAAGGCGCGGACCCACACACAAAATCTCCTCACTGCTCCTCCTCCTGCTGCTGCTGCTGCTGCTCCTCCTCACTATCGCCTTCTTCCCCCTCGCCACCTCCTACGCCTCCTCTTGCCCCTCCTCTGCCTTCTTCTGCACCTCTTTCCCTGATCCCCCTCGTCCACCTCCGCCTGCTTCGCATCCCCTCCTCCTCTTCTGCTCTCAACCTACGGCGAAGCCAGGACGAGGATAAATTCGGGTGAGGATAGATCAAGAATCTCTGAGGTCCCGCGACTCTGGAGGATGTCTCGGCCGCGGCCTTCTCAGAGCGTTCCGAAACGCTCTGGAACGGAGTTATCCTCGTCCCGGCCTCGCCCGACAGCCTCCTCTTCTGCCTTTCACCTGTCAGTGCAAGGGGCCCTGGGACACAGAAATGAATCAACACAAACAACAGGATTCCCCATATATCTCCATACTTTGGGGATTCTCGTCTTCCCCCCCACGTCCCACATTTCCCCATGTTTTTCTGGGAATCGACGACTGATTGTGTCTGTGTGTCTCATCCCTCCCTGGGTGAGGTCCTTGAGGTCGTAATGCTTGACGAAGTCGTTCCAGGTGTACCACTTGCCGTCCTTCGCCCTCCGCTGCTCGGGGTCGGCGTTGATCCACTTGTCCACCCAGCCCTCCTCCGAGCCGCCGGAGAGCACTCCCCCTCCCTCGCCTCTGTTCCCTGGGGCACTGCGCTCTGGCCAGCGTCTCGAGGCGGATCCGGCCGTGGCGAAGAGGGTGGCGAAGAGGGCCCCGAAGCTTCTTCTTCTTCTTCTTGCTTCTCCTCTTATTATTCGTCTGCTTCTTCTTCTGATTATTCTTCTGCTTCTTCTTCTGCTGCTTCTCCTTATTATTCTGCTTCTTTATTATTAGTATTAGTATTATTATTAGTATTATTATTACTATTATTATTATCATTATTATTATTATTAGTATTATATGTATTATTATTAATATTATTATTATTATCTGTGGTATCATTATTATTATTATTGTTATTATTATTATGGTTATTATTATTATTAATATTGTTATTATTATAATTATTATTAATATTGTTATTATTATTATCATTATTATTATCATTATTATTGTTATTATTATTATTATTATCCTTCTTCTTCTCCTTCTTCTTCTTCTTCTTCTCCTTCTCGATCCTCGATCCGACAGGCGGGCCGGGCCTCCCCTGCTCCGCTGGCGCCGCGCGGCACTCGCCCCCGCTCGGCCGCCTCGTGCCGCCGAGCTGGCCAGGGCGAGCCCTGGAAGCTCGCCCCCGGCCGCTCTCGACCACCCTCTGGGCCTGGAGCCTTCGCCGCCCCTGCGAGGCCCCCTCGGCGGTCGTGGCCTCGATCCGACGCGGCCGCCGCCCCCCCCCCGCCCCCCTCCGCTGGCGAGGCCTGCTGCGTGCCTCCCCAGACACTCCACGCCTCGCCCTGTCCGCGACGCGGGCCCCCCCCCAGACCCCCGACGTCGTGATTTTTTCATGACGTCGACCCCCCGAGGTCTGGACCCATTCCCCGGGACCGGCTTTTCATCCTGAGTCGTTTTTTGACGCTCCCGCGGCCCGGTGAGGACCTCCGGAGGGCAAAAATAGCGAAAAAACTCCCGTCGTGATTTTTTCACGACGCGAGGGGGTCTGGGCCCCGACCTCCCGGCCGCCCTTCCCCAGGACCGGCTCCTCCTCCCGAGCCGCTGCTTGACGGCCCCGAGGCCCGGCGGGGGCCCCCGAAGAGGCCGAAGCCGGCGAGGGGAGCGCCTCCGCCGGGCCTCTGTCGAGGCGCTCCGTCTGCCCGGGGTCGCTCCGTCTGCCCCCTGGGTCGCCCCCGTGCGCGCGACCCGGGAGGCGGGCGCGGGGAGGGCGCGCGGGCCCCCCCCCTCCGCGGACGGCGGGCAGGGCGGAGCGGTGAGGGCGAGGCCCCCCCCCCCCAGAGGGCGCGAGGAGGGCGCGGAGGGCCCTCGCGACCTCCTCGCGGGGGGCCTTGCTCGCGGGGCCCTCGCGAGGGCCCGCGGGGTCTTCCTCGCGGGGGCCCTCGCGAGGAGGGCGCGGAGGGCCCTCGCGACCTCCTCGCGCCCGCGGGGTCTCCCTCGCGGTGCGCCGGCGGAGGCGTGTCTTTTGGGCGTGAGGGGGCCTGGGCTCCTCGCCGAGGCCGTCGATGTAGTAGCTCCTGAACTCGTGCACCGTGTACGCGACACGGTTCGAGGCCATCCTCCTCTCCTGGGAGGGTGCGTGCGGATCCGAGGGAGGGGGAGGGAGAGAGAGGGAGAGAGAGAGAGAGACCAAACAGAGGACAGAGACAGAGAGAGAGAGAGAGCGAGAGGGAGAGAGTGAGACGCGCATGTCAATACACCTATACATACACATACACATCGAGAGATGGAGAGAAAGAGATAGAGGGAGAGAAAGACAGGAATAACGAACGAGCGAGAGAGAGAGAGAGAGAGAGACACTTGCGGCTGCATGGTAAACAACTTCGGTAACAACGTCGTTTGCCCTACTGCCGCGCCAAGGTACCGAAATACTGATGCCGACATTGGTTTGACTGCAAGGGACTACGCCTATCCGTTCAAACCACCAATTGTTTCACCCGAGATCTCCACGAAAGGCGCCGCGTCGGCCCACTTCTGCTTCCCCTCCTTCTTGTAGAAATCCCTGAACTCTTTGACGTGGTACAACTTCCCGTCGTTAGCGAGCCGCCTGTCAGCCAGTTATCCTTCCTTTCCTGCCCCCCTCCTCGTGCTCTTCCTCCACTGGCTACTGCTCCTCCTCCGCGGCCTCATCAACGCCCATCTCGCGTCTCTCTTTCTTTTTCCCTTCGTCGTCTACGAACCCCCCCGCCTTCTAAGACGCCACCCGCCCTGGAGCCACCCCCCGTGCGGGCGCCGCCAACGTCTTCACTCCTCCTCCTCCTCCTCCTCCTCCTCCTCCTCCTCCTCCTCCTCCTCCTCCTCCTCCTCACCACCACCACCACCACCACCCACCACCACCACCCCACCACCACCACCACCACCACCACCACCACCACCACCACCACCACCACCACCACCACCCACCACCACCACCACCACCACCACCACCACCACCACCACCACCACCACCACCACCACCACCACCCACCACCACCACCACCACCACCACCACCACCACCACCACCACCACCACCACCACCACCAACCACCACCACCACCACCACCACCACCACCACCACCACCACCACCACCACCACCACCACCACACCACCACCACCACCACCACCCACACCACCACCACCACACCCACCACCACCACCACCACCCGCTCTCCTCCTCCTCCTCCTGCTGCTCCTCCTCCTGCTCCTGCTCCTCATCCTCCTCCTCCTCCTCCTCCTCCTCCTCCTCCTCCTCCTCCTCCTCCTCCTCCCCCTCCTCCTCCTCACTCGCTCGCTCGCGCCGCATCCGAAAAAAATGGTGCTCGACGCGTCCCGCGGCGGCCGTCGCGGCCCGATCACCCAGGCCCAGCTCGGGGAAGGCGGGGGCAGCAGCAGCGGCAACCGCAGCAGGGGAGCAGGGGAGCAGCAGCAGCTGCCCCTTCCCAGACCTCCAACGTATTGAGAAGGAGGAGGAAGAAAAGGAGGAGGAGGAGGAAGAGGAGGCGGAGGAAGAGGAGGCGGAGGCGGAGGCGGAGGCGGAGGCGGAGGCGGAGGAGGAGGAGGAGGAGGAGGAGGAGGAGGAGGAGGAGGAGGAGGAGGATTTTTTTTTCCCCGTGGGCTTCCAACCACCGTGACTTTCCCAACCTCGGGGGCTTGCAAACAGCCTGCGCGTGGCGCTTACAGGCTGCAGCAAGAAAATAAGAAAGCCCAGTGCCGCCAGAAAAAAACCAGGGCCACACTTTGTTGCGGCACGCTGGGGCTCTCACCAAACGGGGATGACCACCGAACGCGCCAAAGAGTGATTAACACATCCCCTGGTCAGCTGAACACGCGCATCTACAATGCGTGCGTGCACACTGGGCCGGACGGCACTAATCCGAGTCGTCCGAAGCATTGACTTCAAGTGAGCTTGGGACTGACTGCGCAGCACCTGCCGCGCGGCAAAAACGTTGAACCTTATCCTGAAAAGCGCGGGCCCTCTCCTCCTGCCTGAAAGCATCGACCACCGAACGGAGGGGGTTCGAAGGGTGGGCACCAGAGGGCCTCGGAGGCGGAGGGGCCACCGCGGCGCTAGACTGCGGCGGGTCAACGTCGAAAATACTGGAGCTGTCACTAAAATTAACATCCGCCTGGACCACCACCACCCTTCTCTTAGCGTGACGGCCCTGACATATCTGCTGCCACGCCCACACACCAAACTTACCTGGAGGAGGTTCGTACTTGGCGTGGAGCCCGCGCAGACTGCCGTGGGAAGTGTAGCATTTACACCTCATGCAAATAGCCAGCTCCCCGTCACTGCAGGGAAACATGACACACCTGTGCTCCAATTTATTGAGGCTGTCGACGCTACACGCTTTTACTTCCGAGCACCGTCCCGGCAGGGGCTTTCCACCATCCCGCGGACGACGGATCTGGAGACACTTCGCGCAGCGCCAAAAACCTTCAAAACTAAACCATTGTGTGTGCATCTTGCCAGCAGGAGCTTGAGGGGCTCTTACAACAGAGAGTTACTGATTATATTGGAGAAGGAGGAGGAAGAGGAGGAGAAGGAGCTCTTCCCGTTCACCTTCCCTCGGGCTCCCTCTCCCCCTCCTGGTCGCCCTTCCTCCTCCTCCTACTCGTTCGTAGAGTTCGGCGTCTGGGGGCCCTCGCCGGCCCTGGGACCGTCAAGCAGCGATCGGGGACAACAAGCCAGTCTGTCTCCAGGAAGTGGTCCAGAGCTCCTGGGACCTCGTATTTAACAGTGCCAAGCGTCGGAGGTCTGAGTTCTCCTCCTCCTCCTCCTCCTCCTCCTCCTCTTCCTCCATCCTGAGGCGCCCAGGCCACTCAGGTCCCACCAGCCCTCTGGGCGACAGGTGGTCTAAGGAGGGTCTTTTTCCTCTTCCACAACCCCTCTTTGCTTCGGGGAGGGGAACCCTCTCCCTCCCCTTCCTGAAAGTTTTTTTTGGGAGGTTTCGCGAGGTGTCGGAGGGTCCTTTTTCGGCCAGTGGGAAAGCCAATGTTTGATGCACCTCACCAGGATCGTGGCCCCGAGGGGGGGGGGCAGGCATCGAGGGCCCTCCCTCTTTTGACCGGCCGCGTTCAAGATGGCCCAAAGAGGCCCTCCAGGGCTCCCAAGCGTTGTCTGGGCCGGTGTACCGCTTCTGCGGATATGTAGTCTCCGTCGCCGCCCCGCCGCCGCCTCGCAAAAATTGCACCTCAAATTTTGGACCGCAGCGATTCTCCTGTCTAAAATAAGAATGGGATCTCCCCCCCCCAGACTGAACGGTTCCCCTTTTCGTATTGCAATTTACACATGATTCTGCCCCCTCGTCCATCCGAAATCCCAGGCTGGCCGGTATCGCCCCCCCACATCCTCTGCAACGAAAATACGATGTGCGCACATATGTTTATCAATGAGCCCGGCGCAACCCCAATTAGGGGAAAGCTTCCAAAGCTTCCTATTGCATAGGTGCGGTCCTTGGCATTGCTTGGTATTATTTGACGTTGCCTGGCATTGCTTGGCACTGCTTGGCATTGCTTGCCACCTTTGACCAAGTAAGAACCCCTTAAAGCAAGCAGAATTGGGGAACTAAGGGGCACCGAGGGCGGGGAACCCGAAGAACCCGAGGAACCTCCGAGCTCCGGGCACAAGAATAATAATAAGAAACACCACCCTAGGCAAGCCCAACTTGGGGAAAATCATCCGCGTTCATGACCCCCTTGCAAGAAACGGGACGAAGTGCACACGCGCGCGCGCATGCCGAACTTCTTCAAGCAAATCGTAGGTTTCGTAAGGGTTTCAAGATCGAGTGCCCCGAAACCATAAAACACACACACACAGCTTCGCAACAAGAGCTTGAAACCAGAACAAGCATGCGCCCGCGCTTTTGCGATTCTGAAGAAAACCACTTGTTTTTCCCACATTCTCATACAATGCCACCACAAGGGCCTCTCGCGCCGCATGCCGAAATTGTTCGAAAGACCTTGCGGGGGTGCTGTCGCAAGAATCTCTTGCAACAAACGGAATGACATGCACCGCCGAAATCCTTCAACAAATCCCGACGTTCGTCAAGATCTCAAAATCGAGCGTCCTGGTTGTGCAACATAAAATTTCAAAAATTATCCTGGCGAGGGACCCAACCATGTGCAGTTGTGAGTGACGCAGTTGTGGGTATCGACCTCGGTGAACCTCTCTAGGGTCACGACGCGTGTGACGGGTGTGCCAAAGTTGGCACGGGTACGCCATGCGGACGCTGCCACCAGAGCCGTCGGTGGAGCACCCTATGGGGCCGCGGAACGTGCAAGGGGTGCGCCGAAACGGGGGGTGGAACTGCATGCGGACCCTGCCACTGGGGCCTTCGGCGGAGCACCCTATCGGGCCACGAAACTTGTGAAGGGTGTGCCAAAATGGGGGGGTGGAACCGCATGCGAACGCAGCACTGTGGCTTTCGGTGGAGCTCGCTATGGGGCCACGAAACGTGTGAAGGGTGCGACGAAATAGAGGTGGAACCGCATGCGGGCGCTGCCGCTGGGGCCTTCGGTGGAGCACCCGATGGGGCCACGAAACGTTCGAGAGGAGTGCGCCAAAATTTAGGTGGAACTGCATGCGGACCCTGCCACTGGGGCCTTCGGCGGAGCACCCTATAGGGCCACGGAACGTGTGAGGGGTGCGCCGACATGGAGGTGGAACTGCATGCGGACCCTGCCACTGGGGCCTTCGCCGGAGCACCCTATAGGGCCACGAAACGTGTGAGGGGTGCGCCGACATGGAGGTGGAACTGTATGCGGACCCTGTCACTGGGGCCTTCGGTGGAGCACCCCATGGGGCCACGAAATGTGTGAGAGGTGCGCCGAAATGGAGGTGGAACTGCATGCGGACACTGCCACTGGGGCTTGGGTGGAGCACCCTATGGGGGCCACGAAACGTGTGAGAGGTGCGCCGAAATGGATGTGAAACTGCATGCGGACCCTGCAACAGGGGGACTTCGGTGAAGCACCCTATAGGGCCACGAAACATGTGAGGGGTGCGCCGACATGGAGGTGGAACTGCATGCGGACCCTGCCACAGGGGGCCTTCGGCGGAACACCCTATAGGGCCACGAAACGTGTGAGGTGTGCGCCGAAATGGGGGTGGAACTGCATGCGGACCCTGCAACTGGGGCCTTCGGCGGAGCACCCTATGGGGCCACGAAGCGTCCGAGGGGTGCGTCGAAATGGGGGTGGAACTGCATGCGGACCCTGCAACAGGGGGACTTCGGTGAAGCACCCTATAGGGCCACGAAACATGTGAGGGGTGCGCCGACATGGGGGGTGGAACTGCATGCGGACCCTGCCACTGGGGCCTTCGGCGGAGCACCCTATAGGGCCACGAAACGTGTGAGGGGTGCGCCGAAATGGAGGTGGAATTGTATGCGGGCCCTGCCACTGGGGTCTTCGGTGGAGCACCACGAAACGCTGTACTAGGTGGGTGAAACGCAGGGAGGAGGGAGAAGGGGGAGGAGGGAGGGGGCAGCGGGAGGAAGGTGGGAACGCGGGGCGCTGTCTCTTCAAAACGAGGACCCAACACCACAGGATGGTTGGGAACCAA